TATGCTTTTACAGACTGCTTCTTAATAGCTTCTGCCAATCTCGCCAAGTCACCAGTTGCGTTCTTAAAGAGCCATCCAGTTATTTGTGTTCCCTGTTGTAGCAAATGTTTTATCCTGCAAATGAAATGAACATCAAACTGTCAGCTACAAATTTTACACATTTGAGCAAGGCTGTGGTAGAACACTATTTTTGTAAATGGGGAACCTAACAATGCACTGTGATGCTGAGTCACAGAGGTTCCGCTCTTCTTTTATTTCTGAATTTGTTAGTTGCATACAGCACCACTGTGTTCTGCAAAACTATGATGAGAGTCACTTACTAAAGAAAAAACCCACCTATAATAAGATGCTAAAAATACAAAAAGGTATAACACATTGTTTCCCATTGGAATTTAAGCTAGTCCTTGCCATGAGGAAGTACTTGTTATCTTTAAGTGCAGCAGTGCGTTTCAGGTACATGCCCACCCACCACTGCAAGTCTGAGGGATGGTGCAAACTGTATTTATGAGTTAGTCTTTGTAGAAGTTGCTTTCAAAAACGAGTGGATAAACAACTATTAGGGCACAAAGAAATGTGGGTACAGACTGCAATCAAGGACAATTTTGTCAATTAAACTGCAATCCCACAGCTGTCAAGCTGCTTGCCAAAAAAACTCCAGAGTTGTCTGGCTTGGAGTGAGATCCTTTACCTCCCACTGATGTAGATAACAGAACAGTCCAAATTGCCAGCTACTCCTCCTCAACACCAGGAGGATATCTTACACAAGGACTAATAGAAGTCCAAATGCTAACAGGACTGCAGAGTCGTGGAATTGAAAGGGGAAATCCTGCTTGTCACTGAACCATAAATTGCCGTGCTCTGAGCCTGGAGGCCATTCAGTTGTTTTATAAGTCTGCAGAGGGCAAGTGGTGGGTAATCAAATGAAGATAAGGGTGGATTTAATGGGGACTATTTGTGAATGTCTTGCACATTCTTGAAAGATTAATATTGGTTCACTTTTAAGATAATGGCAGCTTGACTCAGATCCCTGACTAATCTTGAGAATTAAGCATAATCCTGCTTACCTTGTCTGCTAGTGTTGGGTCAATACCACAGCAAGAGCAAATGAGGCAGCCTCCACCTGGAGGATATTTGCAAAGCATCATCAAACTGCTGTTTTTTGGGAGGTTGTGGGGTGGAGGTGGGGGTTAAGATCCATAAGTAACAGGCCAACCTTTTCATTTAACTGCATCAGGCTACGATAAGATGCCAAATCCTGTTGGAAACCCAGTTGGATGACCACTGTTTTCTCAATTCTTTAATGTCTTTGCCTTTCTGTGTTTCACACCTGGAGGTCCGCTTCTCACATCCTGTTACAACTTCTGTCCAGGGCCATGTTTGAGAACAGAAGCCAGTTCAGATGACTGCAGTCTAAACACGGGGAATGGTTAGACACTCCCTGTGAAATTCTCTGAGTGGGAATGGGAAGTTTACAGCTCCAATAGAGCACTGTTGACGTGGAACGGCACGTAATGAAAAGGTGAACAGCCTGTGTACTGAGACACGTTTTCACTGGAAGGAAAACTCAGCGCTGTCTTGCACCACCTTGCCGCATGCCACAACCACAAAGGCCTCTTTACACATGGAGTGAGTTTAAACCTTTCTTTGGGTAGAGATTGCAGAACATAAACTTTCAGGTCATTCAGACGTCACAGGGTCAGTGACTAAGCTCGTGGATGTTCCAAGTCATCTAGAACTGGTCAGATAAGACAACTGCACCAAATTAAATGAGTGAGTCTTCAAACCCATGGGAGTTTTTAAAGTGAGCAAATGAATTTCCAATGTCTGACCAAGCCAACAGATATTTAGCACATGGAAAGATAGAGTACAGCTGTTGTGCACTCTGTGTAATACTGTTGTGCATTAACAAATTACGACATATAGCAAAAATGATTTAGCTTAATAAATAAGACACAAGAGGATGATTAGCAACAAAAATGTCTCTTTCTGTAACACTTACAGTTCTATGGGATTGAGTGTGTAGTTCTCCTCATATATGATTCAAAATAAACAAAAATATTCAACATCAACCATTCATCAAGAAAATAAGTAGTCTGATGTTTTGTCATTTATATGGTAAATTAGATGTACACCAATTATCTCAGCCTATTGCATCTGCTGGGTAAAGCAGAAAAAAAGAAGCTGACATTCTTGAATATTCACAAACCACTGAGGCATATGACACATTTGATCATCTGCTCATAACAAAACTGCCACTGCACCATTTATCATCTTGTTACAAATGCTTTTAATAGCTGCCTCTTATTTAATGTAAATCTTATGTGGAGACAAATTAAACACCAGCCAACCAAACCCATCTTGCTCGAGATTGCATTGCAAATGTGCACTGCGGTGTCCAACACATTTTTCTGATAGATAAAAAAAGATAAAGGGATTACAGTGGGGAATTTTTTGTATATATTTAGTTGCATTAAGTCATTATGGGAAGATTTTTATAATCATCGGAGGAAATATTGTACTCTAAGTTATTTACTCAGTCACTAAAAACTTTTCCAATAGTTTATTGAATTAATAGTGAATGAGTTTGGGCTACAAACCTGTAGAAACTGCTAAAATCATTCGAGTTGTATGGACGCAGCCCTAACTGGTTTTAGTTTAAGGGTAAAGGTCTGAGTAAAATAGACATAGAATAGACAAGAATTAAACAACCCATTTTCCCCACGATATGACCTATACCCCATTAATTAAGATTCTGCTGGGGGATATGCATGTGTGTTTAGTCATTGTGGTTATTTCAGAGCAGCTGTGGGGGTCATGCAACACATCTGTTCGCCATAAACACATGCATGCAGTTGTTTATGCAGAGGGCAGGTTTTTACTGTAAATAAATTGTGCTAATTTTCCGGCAACTTTATCTGTTAGTTTATAAAGACGCCACACTAAAAGACAGGAGGGCAAAGGGGGGAGTAAGTCAGACTGAAGCAGCAGTCTCTCTGGAGATCATGTGCCGCATTAAAGGGTCACAAGGACAAACCGAAATCATGCTTTCTTAATAAAAAAGAAAAAAAAGAAAAAAAACTGAATGAAAAGTCACGAGTCACTTGGAGTGATGTCGTTGTAGCCAAGTGTTATTAATGACGTGTTAGTTTTTCTTTATTCATTTCTAAAATATCATGCGAATATGTAAAGAACAGCCTTTCCGCTCTCTGTACCCACCATTATAAATGAACTGCGGTCTCTGAAGGCGTCCCGCTTTTCATCCACTTGATCAAAGAGCGACTCCGGAGAGAAATTAATTCCATTACTTTGCCAAGACTGCTTCACTTGTATGACAGAAAACAATCGAATTCAAAAGGAGAGGCTGGCCTAGTTTCAGTGAGCAAAACTCGTAGATGAGATGAAATCATGTTTGAGGGGGCTGCAGGTCAGGCTGCTCGCTGATCTGAATGACAAATCTATCCAACAGTTGCGAGTCACTGAATCACACGGGAAACTTTGGTCCAAAGGAGCGGAGCTTCAGGGAGCACTGGCGCACTGCCACGGCCCCTCACGGACCATTTCTTTAAAGTAAAAAGCTGACTTTGCACACATAAACGACATGGTAAACAATATAAGTTAAATATAGCGGTGCTACCTAAATAATAGCCTATGTGTTCCTTTTGGGGGTCAGTTTTAGGTTTTACTTTTTAGTTTTTAATGTCGTCGCAAAAAAAAGGACGAGCACTCCACCTAGTGGAGAAAAGTATAACATGGAGGTTACAGAGAGAACAAGGTGGGCTGCAAATAAACATGGTTTTGTTTTACATGATATGATATCATAATAGCGTCGTTAAAGATAGGCTGGGTCAATCTTACTTTACATTTTTACTTTAGTGTAACCTAAAGAGCAATTTTGTATGGCTTCTTTGCAGGATGATATTGTTTTTGCATACATGGATAACGTAATAATTCAACATATGACCTTTTAAAAGTGGTTTGAGTACACAACAGTATGGAAGTGTCAATTTAATGTCAGTTTTATTTATATGACACATTTCATTACATTTAAACTTAACATGGTTAATATCAAGATAAAAAAAACTTAAAATGTACAGTAACATTAAAGTAAAAACAAAAAACCCCAGAGGAATATAAGTTTACAAAAAATAAACGTAAACACGCACACACAGTTATGTGTATCATCCGCATTGGATATTTTATTCTTCTTTTTTTATTATTCTTTATGATAGGGCCAAGAGAGAGCAGGAAGATTCGAGAGTAATGGACCAAGAACAGACATTTGAGGAACCACTGATTGAATTTTTAAATTTGTGCTGATCTCAAACTATTAATCGAAATGTAGAAACCTCTACCCTTTAGACATGATGACATATCTAAATCAACAAAATCATAAAGACTTTGAATTAAGAAGTCAAGAAGTCAGTGTCGATCATGAGTCTTCTAATTACTGGTGATCTTTAGGTCTTTAGGTTGTTGATGGGTTTAATTGGTGATGAAATCTGATTGGTACTCATCATAATGAGTTGTTAGGTATGCATTCAGTTGTTTATAAAAGTTTTTAAAAATATATTTTTCTGAGAAAAGATGATAAACAGTTTTTTGGTAGCAGTGTGATTAGAGCACATCAGAGATAAACACTGAAAATGCCACCCTCTAAAGAACTGTTGACAATAATTACTAAACAAAATGCATTGTTTTAATTAACTGTTCTTTGATCGGTTAAAAACAACATAACACATTTTTGCTATTACTCTCTCAGTAGTAAACTTTAAAAAACAATGATGTAATAATGCAAATTATATAACACTGTCATGCCATGGAGACTTAACCTCTGATAGGTTGTTGAATAAACTCTTGCAGCCGCAGGTTGTTTACGGGAAATTTTACATGTACTTTATTCGCATTAAGATCATTTTCTCTTTATCAGCCGAATGCTTTAAAAGGTATAACGTCTTTAACGCAATATTGAGGATCACTGCGTTAGAACTACAATTCCCATCAAATCTGTCGCTTAGTGATGACGCATAAGTAAAGAATTTTCAGGAAGGTTACAAAACCGTGGCGTCTTGTTTCTGGAAAGGTGATAGACGACATTTCTCTCGGTATGTAACATTTACTTTCTATTTAGTATTTTGAACGTTGTAGCCATATAACAGATAAGACATATTTAGTCTGTAGTTAAATATGTGTTTGTTCAGCGGTCGTTAGGCTAAGGGTTAGTCGCATGATATTACGGCATTAGCTAGCTCAATTTTTGTGGCGTTTTTTAGTGCAAGAGCACATTTTACACTGTTTTTGTGACTCTTAGCTCAAAGTTCAGCTTTCTGTCACACGAATTCCTCTCTAAAAAAGTCTTCTACGTGTTTGTGTTTTAGAGTGACACGGGACAGTAATATATCGTGACAATGTTGGTGGCGAGGCTAACGTGCCTGAAGGCTCTCCCGCTTGCTGGGCTCCGACCACTGCTCACTCAGGGCTCCCCAGCCCTGCGGTCACCCATCTTGAAGACCTGTTCACCCTTGCTCA